GCTAAAAACATTCCTGTTAGCAGAGGCACCACTACTGGAGATTGGAGGATGTGTGAACTAAGTTGTTAGTTGTTGAATGAGCAGAAAAGAGATCACAGGCCAAAAGACGAGGGAAATTCAGTTTCTAGTGTGGGGCAGGACCTAGCGGGATGCTCACAGTTCCTCACCTGATGAAGCCTTTTGGGGGCCCATGCTGCTCCCCAAACAGGAAGATGCACCTGCCAGCACTCCTCTCCTGTAGTGAGCTGGCTCAGGGTGATGGGACATGTTGGAGCACAGGGCCCAAGGGATCCTGAGAGATTCTAAGTGTGGCTAAAGGAACCAACCACAAGGGGAGGGCAGAGGGTTCAGTGGCTGAACACCGTCCCTACAGTTGAGGGACCTGCAGGTAGGCTTCTCCACAACTGACACCTTCCTGGCCCACGTGCAGAGTAAACCAAAGAAATGAAGGGCACAGTTTCTGGGAAGAGCAGGCGCCACTCAGGCCTGTAATTCAACCAACTGAAAACCAGGGTCACTTTGGTGGGACTCTGTCTCACCCTGAATTTAACCTCTCTTCAAAGATAGGCCCAAGAGAAGGGGATCGTGACAGTCAGCCTCTGCTCACTGCAGAAAAACCAACGAACCAAACAAAAAAGAGTTTGGAAACAGAGGAGTTGACATAGTCAAGTTTGTGATAAGGACCTCAACTACAGAGATGGCGACGTGGAGGGAGGAGTCATATTTGTGTTTCCCCCTGTCCAAGGTGCTCGTCTGTACGCAATCTCGAGCGTGCACAGGCAGGGAGCACATACACGCCGCGCACGCTTGCGCACTCGCTCGTGCACGCGCACAGACACATGTGCCAGGTGCACGCAAACACACTAGCTCGTGCACGCGCACAGCGGCGGTTATCACCACGTCACACTCTCCTCTACGTCATAATCGAGGGCGTTACCATCAAAGAGCTGGGGTCCAGAGACTCCGCTGCTTCCCTCTAGGAAAGACGGCAGGATGGAGCCCAATCCCACCTGCTCTTTCTTCTTTTTCCTTTTTTGATCTTTAAGATCCTCTAGTGATTGTACAATAGGGTTGTGCAGGTCCGGTTCTCTTGAACCAGACCGGGACTTCAGCCATTGCAGAAGGAGTGCGTCCAGTGTCCTAGCGAGTGAATGTCGCTCGGTGTGGACTGGTGGCTGCAGTGGCACGCTAACGAGGTGATGGAAGGTGTCCCTGGCGTGGCAGGGACTCACCCTAACTGTGAGCGGATCTGCAGGAGATCCGCCTGCACCACACAATCCTGGTTGTCCTTAGCAGTGACTTGCCTGGCATGGCGACTGAATGGATTTGGGGATGTCCTTGGTCAGCGTGGCTAAGGATTGCTTGGCCCTGGGCAGCTTGGCCCCCAGCTCCTTCATACTGTTGTCCTTGAGGTCCAGCTGGGAGCGCAGAGGCCTAGGTGTGACTGGTGTCCTTGATGGCCTGGAATGGTGGCTCCCACTTTACTAAAAAGTTCTAGCAGGCCCTTTCCCTTGGCCAGCTGCTCCTAGCTGTAGATGAAGTCTTGCACCTGCTCCTCCCGGCTGGCTCTGCAGGTGTCTCCAGCTGCTGCATTTGGCTCACCAGGTCTGACTTCTAGTCCTTCAGGTGCTTCCATGGTTTGATGGCCTGCAAGGCCTCTCTAGATCCTGAGCTTAATGGCTGAGAGGACATGGAGAACTTAACACCCTGAGACTCCTCCAGGTCCTTGGCTAGCATCTCCTGCATCTGCCAGAGAAGGAACAATTGCTCCTGGATCAGGGCCACTTCCTGGTGGAAGAGGGCCATTCTTCCACCGCAAGAGTGTTGCAGTTTTTGGGTGCCACTTGTTGGTAAAAGAACTTACCAAGACAAGCAAGTAGGAGAAGCAATAGGTCTATTAGGTCACAGAGAAATGGGGCAGCTAAGCACAGGGAATATGACTGTTGTGCAAAAATGAAGGTTGAGGTTCGTTTTTGTGTAAAGCAAAGAGAGCAAAGCAAAAGTGCCCCCTCAATAGGAGACTCGAGAAGAAGCTCTGTGCTGGAGTGTCTAAGACTACTTCAAGCTTTTACTGGGGTCTGTAGAGATGTGGGTGTTCAGTCCTGGAAAGCAGGGTTATGTGTCATCAGCTCCTTCTATGTATAAGGTGAAGGGAGTTTTTGGCCTTGGATGGTCAGACGGGCTGTAGGTCAGTAACAACCTGCTGGATGTCAAAGCCATTTTGTTCAAGTCAGCAGTCTAGAATGAGTCCTTATCAACACTCAAGTCATGGTTCTCAGTCACTAGGTTTCCTAACTCCCTGCTTAGTCCACATTATTCTCCCTTAAGGATTGTGGACCCTTGTAATCTTTAGATTTTTTTTTAAAACTACTTTTTGTTGAACTGGGGCACTTACCTATGGGTTCACCTTTTTCCCTTGTTACCTAGTAGCGATGGCTGAGGTGGTGGAATAGAATGACCTGGTGGCTGGCTTTAAGAGGTATCAGTTGTTGATGTTGCAGTGTTGTCTGAAAACCCTGGCATACATCATATACAGGTGAGAAATTTGAAATTCAGTAGTTGGATTTGTTGTGGTCGCCACCATTGTAAGAAGAGGTTTTTCTTAACTGTGGCTGGCAGAAGCAGTAATCTTGCGGGGGCTCTCTGAAGGCCCATTGTTGTCTATTCCAGGTGAATGTGAACTGCTTCTGGGATTCGGCGGCTAATGGGACACTGAAGAAAGCATTATCTAAAATTTTGTTTAACAAAACAACAGCAGTGGCTTTTTTGTGGGACCCATGAGGGCAGATTCTCACCCCGTCACCCAGTAGCCCTCTAGCATTATGAATGCTAACCAGTAGAAAGGAAGCTTTTAGTTTGGTCCCAGCTTAATTTCTTTTTTGTGCCCTATAACCAGAGCTTGTGGTGTCTTAAGCAATAGAGACTTACTGTCCAATTTTGACATAGCAACTGCAGTAGCAATAATGCAAGGTGAAGGAGCCTCAAGGGCCTCCCTAACCAACAGCTTGTCAGGAGGTACCCCATTCTGGACACTTAGGGTACTTATTTTAACAATCTAATGGCTTTCAGACCCTCCCCTTTTTATCCATGTGTCCTTAAACTCTTTACTATTGTTTTAAGTAGTATACCATGATTTTTGTAGGTGAGGAATAAAAAGAGTTTGAGTAGACAAACTAGTCAACTCTTTTAGGATGGACAGGGCACAAGGAAAGGACTTGGATAAGGAGCATCTGTGACTGACAACAAATGCTATCCCCAAGAGTTCTCAGCCATGTAGGGGAAACCGAGGCACATGCAATGCTGTGAAAGTAGAGAAAGGAGCCAGATCTGCGCATGCCGCACTTCTCAGTGAACATCCATGTGACAGAGACATGAACTCAGTGATCTCAAGTGATGTAATCATTGTTAGGTCTCCCTCAAGATTCCTACCTTCCATACTGCTGCAACCACCTGCTATTTTCTTACTGCACAGCTGGTTGTTTGGTAGATATGTCAGTTATATTTCCAAAATTATGATCTTGCATTACTATAGTAAATTCAAAGGTTCTTCAGATTTTCTGATAGTTCTTTAGAGTTTCAAGTTCTAAGAACAATCAAATTACAAAAATTGCAGCAATTAAATACTAAGAAGGGATCTGCAACTCCAGTATCATTGTGGACCCTACTTTATGCAGTTGTATAGAACTACTGAAGACGTGATGTACACTACATTATTTAAAAGTGCACATTCAGTAAAGCAAGGATCCTGTGTTCCAGATCCTGTAGGGTCTGAATGGTGAGTACAAAGTCAACCCAGTGTATGTGCTGGGACATTTAATTTGCTCTTCTCAATACAGTAACTCCTAATCCAAAAAATAAAAGATAAATGCAATTTAATTTTTAGTAAGTTTATAGATGAGTTTTTCCAAAGAAAACTTCAATAAACTCCAAGCACATGTTAATAAAGATCTTTTTTTAAAAAAAAATATTGTACATAAATTTTCAAATGTGCAAGGGGTCAGTGTCCATAACACTCTTTATTTTTCACAGGTCAAATGTGCAAGTGGATTCCAACCCTGTCCAGGTCCCAGAATCCCCTGGGAGCTTCAAAATCTATAGATGCTGAAGCTGCTCCACAAAAGGATGGTTTTCATTTGCCTTGAGGATCAAGCCACGCACCCTGAGGTGTCTGAGTCACAGAGTGCTTGAGAACTATGAAACACCTTAAGGAAAAGCTCACCTTCTCAGTGTCCCATGTCTGTGTGAAAGTATGTGCTCCTCAACAGTTTTGGGGTGTGTAGCTGGACTTTATAGGTAAGGGGTTTTATGTGAAAAGCCAGCATCATTCTACATATCAGAGTGTTCCTGTCCTTGGATTTCAGGTGTCAGATCCATATTTGGCTTAGTTTGGAGCAACTTCACTTATGGCCTATGGAGTGCATGTTGAGGTATTATTTTTCTCTCAAATTTCATGTTCTGTCCCCTTTATGGATCAACATGGCACCTGGGTTCCCAAACAAGAGATGATCTACCTATTGTTAACACAGAAAGTCACTTTGGATGATGAAGAAAAGCCCCTGCTCACGCAGGCAGCCAACAAGTGGTCAAGACGCATGGTACCAGTATAAAGGCACCACTGCTTCTATGTGCTTTATTTACATCAATGTAATTCACATCAGCAGGTGAGCCTGAACCAGACAATTACTCAGAAATACAGGTGCCATCTAATGTGATCAAACTACTCCCAGAGTCAATGCAGCTTGTCACAGCTGACCACTCAGATGACCTCTGTTCTCATAAAATATTGAAGCTTCCAGGTCACAAATTAGGACCAGAAAGTCCTGCATTGTTTCACTGGAGGTCTTGGGCAGCAATCCACATTAGGTAAAGATTATACACTCTGCACTAAAGCAAGTATCACTGGATGCCCCATAAAATATGTCCATCCCCTCATATAAACAGTCTAATTGTATATAATGCAACTCAATACATTTAAAAGGACAACTCAGATTGAAGGTAGATGCAACAAAAATGCCTTTATTAATGCACACACCAAAGCAATTTGAGGCAGACACTTACCAGTTACTGACTTGGAGGCTACAAACATCAACTAAAAGTGTCATATAAGATGACCAACTTGCAAGAAGCAGCTAAGTCTTCACTGCAAGCCTCTGGGTGAACCAGGACTGAGTCCGTTTGACACTAATGGGGTCCTAACCATGGCATGATCACTCAGTAAACAATAAAATTTTCTAAATAGCACAAGCTACACACTATTGCCACCAGGGAATGGGAGGGCAGACACATGTGCCTTGCCTTAGCATGTCAGGGTAGCTTTTGCCCTCTGTGCAAGGTAGTACCAGGAAATGCCTCTGTAAGACAGTGTGGTAATGATTTTACTGTGGCAATGGCCTTAAGAAGTCCAGAAGGTGTACAGCAGCTCCTGTAAGCCTCACCCTATGCCTGAACTCATGGAATCTCACACATTAGACATTTGTCAAGTGTGAAGTTCAACTTCAGGCAGGTGGAGATACTGAAGAGCACGTCACATTCCCTCAGGTCTAATGCTATTCCCAAGCAGGGTTTCCTGCTGCTAAATAAGGCTGGACCTTGGGCTGAAAGCTTTCCCACAGTTGCTATTTCATGGGACCTATCTATGGTGGGATCCTTTGGGGTGTTGAAGACAGGAATGATGTGTAAAAGATTTCCCACGCTTGCAGCATTCATAAATTCTTCTGCAGTGTGAATTCTATGTGTATTGGTGTGTTCTTAGAGCACTTCCCACACAGGCCACATTCATAAACCTCTTCCTTGCTGTGAGCTTTCTGGTGGCGAATAGTTGTTTTATGCCCCAAAAGTTTCCCACATCTTTCACACTCATGAGGCCATTATGCAGTGTGAACCTTCCCACGTGTAATGAGGTGAGTTATTTGGTTAAAGCCTCTCCCACACTGGCCACACTGATAAGGCCTTTCTCTGTGTGAGTTTATTGGTGCTGAACAATACTGGATTTATACCAAAGGCTTCCTCACATTCTTTGCATTCATAAGACTTTTCTCCATTATGAATTCTACAGTGACTCACAAGGTTGGTGTGCTGAGTAAAGGAATTCCCAAAATCTCTACACTCATAAGACCTTTCTCCACTGTGACCCTGCTGGTGTACTGTAAGGTCACCTCGTCGTTTAAAGGACTGCCCACAATCTGTACACACATAAGGCCTTTCTCCTGTGTGGACTCTCTGGTGTACAGTAAGGGCACGTACCAGCTTAAAAGATTTTCCGCAATCTCTACACTCATAAGGTCTTTCTCCAGTGTGATCTCTATGGTGTATTGTAAGGTTACCTCTTCGCTTAAAGGACTTGCCACAGTCTGCACACACATAAGGCCTTTCTCCAGTGTGCACTCTCTGGTGCACTGTAAGGTCACATGCTCGCTTAAAGGACTTCCCACATTCTCTACATTCATAGGGCCTTTCAACAGTGTGAACTCTCTGGTGTACTGTAAGAACACTTCTTTCCTTAAAGGTTTTCCCACACTCTCTACACTCATAAGGCCTTTCTCCGGTGTGAACTCTCTGGTGTACAGTAAGAACACTTCTTTCTTTAAAGGATTTTCCACAATCTCTACACTGATAAGGCCTTTCTCCAGTGTGGACTCTCTGGTGTACAGTAAGGGTATATCCTTGCTTAAATGACTTCCCACACTCTCTACACTCATAAGGCCTTTCTCCAGTGTGGACTCTTTGGTGAACTGTAAGATCACCTCCTCGCTTAAAGGATTTCCCACAGTATCTACACTCATAAGGCCTTTCTCCACTGTGCACTCTCTGATGTACAGTAAGGTCAGCTCTTCGCTTAAATAATTTACCACATTCTCTGCACTCATAAGGTCTTTCTATAGTGTGGACTCTCTGGTGCTGAGCAAGTGAGTACTCATCAGGGAACACTTCCTGACTGTTGTTATGCTCATAAAGATTGTTTCCAGTGTAGATGCTTAGGTTATGAAAAGCCATGTTGTTGTGGATAGAAGCTTTTCCAAATTTAAACAATTTGTAATAACTTTTCCCATAGTGAAAGGCCTCTCCAAACTTGGAATCGTTTGGATTCTCACCATAAGAAATGACCTGTGGCTGCAAGTCAAAAAAACCTGAGAAATCCTTCCAAAGGTTTTCAAATTTGAAGTGCTTCCCTGGCACAAAAAACTCATAGCTCCTTTCAAATGGGGTCCCATGCATATCCCTCTTCAAAGGTTTCTCTGCAGTGTGATGCTCCCGGTACTGATGAAGCCTTGCACATGCCCCGAGCAAACACAGTCTCTGCACAGGTGGAGTAGCCAGGTACAAAATGTCTTTCAAGACTAGGACACAGATGTCACAGGGGTGAGTGTTCTGGAGGGACTGACTTGCCTCTGGAGTCATCAAGTGTGACACCCCTTTCAGACAAATACTGTGCACAGAGGCCTCATGATTCTCCAGTTTATGCCCACAACCTGAAATCAGAGAAACAATGATGAAATGCATGTAGATTATGCCAGGAAGGGAACCAACCCAAAAAGAAAAGGTGCACAGGATTTTTTTTTTTTATGGTGTTGGGATCCATCCCAGGGCCTTGCACTTGCAAGACATGCACTCTACCACTGAGCTCAATTCCCAGAACCAGAGGACTCTTTTGAGGATGTGAAAGTGGGGGCCAATGTTCAGAAGGGATTGATTTGTAGCACTGGGCTTCCAAAGACAGTAGAATCTGTCAAACCTCACCAGACATAGGACTTGATGAGCTGCAACACAGGGAGGAGAGGAAGGGCTTCCAACTCACTTCTTCAGGAACTGCGACCACATTCTATTGTTATCCATGACTTGCCATGAAATCCCTCAAACTCACTATACAGTCTTCTTCACAAAAAACTTGCCATCTGGTGACAAGTGCACATTGTATAAAGGACTGCTTGAATCCAAGATGGTAAAAACAGCTTGAATTGCATTTAGAAATAGTTAAGAATATGTGTGTGCCTCAAAACACATGAGGTGTGGGTCAGTGTTGGAGAGCATTGCAGGGGTAAGTGGACTGGAGTTAGGGATGTGTGGAAACCAGATAAGTGGGGAGCATCTAGATAGGGAGACCCAGATGATATGACAAGTTAGAAAGTGTCAAGAATGGAGATGAGAAGGTAAAAATGGGTGCATCCAGTGACATTTGCACTGGACATTTTCCTCAGATGTAGTAACTTCCCTAAAGTGTTCCTCAATGGGACCAGGTATTTCTGAAATCATTTTTCCATGTCTATCCTATAAAGCAACCAGGATTCTTCCTAAACCCCAGTTGCTCAGTTTATGAGAAGTACATGAATAAAGCCCTAAGGGAAAGACAGGGCAGGTGAGCCCTCAGCCACTGCTGAGCAAAAGCACACAGCACACCAAAGGAAGGAAAAATAGTATTACAAAGAAGACTGGAAAGGTCTGGAAAGAACAGTCCATGGTCTACATGGACATCCATTACAATACCTGAAGTCCTGAAAGAGCAGCTGTAAGGAAATGTCACTGAGAATAAAGGGACACCTGGCAAAAGGTGTTGTAAACCTACAGTCATCCAGTCAGGATGATAGTAAGCAAGGCCAGACCTATTAAATTGACTCATCATCACAATCTTCCAAATCCATGCCTGCACTCATTAGAGCAGCATCTCAGGGCGGTGCACACAGCTCAGCAGTAGCATCTATAGCATGCATGTCAAAAAGTGAAGAAGTTAGTAGAGCCCAAAGGCTAGCAGTAGAGGCAAAGCAGCCCCTGGGGAAAAACAGAACAAAAAAGAGACAAGGACACACGTGGGTGTGACAGTCTTACCCAAGAAGGTTACAAGTGCAAAGTTCTCCAGCATCACATGGAGGTACAGGAGCCTCTGAGCTGCATTAAGGAACTCCCATTCCTCCTGGGAGAAGTAAATGACCACATCCTCAAAGGTCACACAGGCCTGCCATGGTTAGAACAGAACATCTATGATCAGCTTCTTTTCTGGGAGTGATTCCAGGTTGACATGTCCACCCTCCTACAACTATCCTTGGTTTACCTTATGTACCACCCTCATGACCTCGTGCCAGGCCCCAGGACCTCTAATGCCCAGTTTCTTCTATTGATCACTATTGAGACTCCTAGAACCAATTGGTGTATGAGCAGCAGGGAGACTCCATCTGACTTCTGGGCCTTGCGTGTATGGCTGTAACTACATATGACAGATAATTGCACAAAGGACCCCCCCACAATAGTACCCTTAGAGATGGTGAAATGTGGACTTGCCTTTCTCTGTGTCACCAACAGCAAGGCCACAGGACAACCATTTCACATGCTCTCTTGGCACACATCACTTCTTAGAATACACTTCTCTCAGGTACATTACCACGGCTCTTTCTAACTCCTGCCTCACAATATAGGTATCTCTCTGCCTTCCCTACTCTTCTTGGTACATCGTATCTAGAGTGTGCTCTGCACATTCAAACAGGACACAGTCATTCCCACTGGCAGAGGCAACCCTCACATTGCTATGAAGGGCACCCTGCCTGACTCTTTCTTGCATCAACCTTTGACACTGAGAACCATCTGTGGATCCCAGACTCACAAGACCCCCACCATTAATGGCACACTTGATTCACAACCTTCTTCACTTGCTTATTCCAAGCCCTGCTCCAGTGGCCTTCCACTACAGGCAAGTGAGTCTTCCAGTTGGGCACTTGTGCCCCTGAACATTTCTGCCAGCTTGAAACTTCTCAGACACATCAAAGGTCACAACAAAACTCAGTTGAGTCTGTGGCGGAGTGAATCAAAGCACTATCTGAAGTTTCAGAACCATACTGCAATTCTTAGTTGGGCCTCTGACTCCATCTCATGGTCCTCACCCTCTGGAAGCAATGGCAACCTGCTGGAGCACGCTGTCTCCTGCCATGCATCCACGGCCACTTCTCTCACATACCTGTATTTTTCACTAGTGTACGTTAATATACAAAGACTTCACTGCAATACTTCCATATGTGCGAATTTTGTACTTTGATCAGATCAACACCATCTATTGCTCATTCCTTCCTCCATCTACCATCCCACCCTACAAAAATAAACCATTTTTCGTGAGCTTCATTATGTCATCTCAATACACAGACATAATGTACTTCTGACCTGCTGTGCACAGGATTCAACTTCCCTATGCCTAAAAGCACTCACCCCCAAAGTCCTCACTGTTCTGAACACTGGGACCTGAAATGTGATGACAAGGTCCCTCACCAGGCTCCACACTGGGGTATGGTGAGGTCTATGACTTGGAGACTCAGCCCTCACTCAGGTCAATAAGGACAGCTGATACCATCAGACTTTACAGCTCAAACTTGGTGGCTGTATTGTGGGGACAGGATCTTATATCAGTCCTTATCATCTCTTGGTGGACTAAGTGCTCCAAAGAATCTACAACACAGACCAGACCCCCAAACTGCTAAGATGTCCACCACTAGACTACAGCATTCCCACCTACAACAAACCATCCAGAGAAATAACCCTTTTCTGAATGATCATCCATGTAGCACTTCATCACAGAGTCCAGGGCATTCTGGGTTCCACAGCTCTAGTCAGCATTTGCCTTGACTAAGCATTTGCCTTCACTTGCACAGGAATCCTGGGTGGTGGAAGTGGCATTGTATTCCTAAAGTGAAGGAGGAGCTCTGCTTTTCTTAGGGAGGGACAAGCAGATACGGGGCTGTTATGTTTGCAGCTGATTACCCAAGTGTTTAGAGATATATCATTCCATTCTCAGCAAGATCAGATGCTCCCAGAGCTAAAGGTATTTCAGCTGCTTCTAAAGACTACTGATTCAAATTGACACGTCATGCATAGATAGGTTCAGTTAGTACCTTTATGTGTGTTTTCTACCTAGAAGGGAAATGAACATTACCTATTGATCTTCATGTGCTGTCAACTGAAGAGCTGGAGTGACATTGGGGCACTTCAGTGGGTTCTTTCGGGACAGGAGACAATACTCCAGGCAAGGGGAAGTCCTGTCCTCCAGGCTGGTCCTTAGGGTGTCGAATTAGATTACAGTTTCAGGGCCTACAACAGTCCTACAAGGAAAGGTTCATACAGCTCCACCTTCATACTGAGGCTCCTTCACTTCCAGGGACGTTCATCATCTCTAAGATGATGGGACAGCCACCTAAAGGCACAGGCCTGGTGGCCAGTGGGGACTGGGAACCAAAGAGCCTTGTCCTAAATTGTTGGCAGGCCTAGGTCAAAGTCACTTTGTTTGGCCTCCTCATGGCCACTTGGGTGGATTTGGCCTGTGTGAAGAAAAGTCAAGACCCTGCCTTGGATGCAGCGTGTGGGGAGTCTGTACAGGGAAGTGCCAGATTTGGTCTCTAGAGTGAAAGATAAGGACTTTGCTTTTGTATTTGAGATAGTCACCACAGGACCAAGTGTATTAACCATGTTTTCCCCACTCTTTATACTTTGGCATTTTTGGCCTTCCTGAACGGGCAGTCTACAGACTGCCCCTTCCAGGGCCAGTCAATCCTTAAACATAACAAAGTCTGCTGGCCCGTAGGAGCACATCATTTACATGCAAAATAAGTAGTAAAGAACCCAGGCCCCTAGCCAGCTCCTCTGTCAGTCTGTCACAGAGAAACTAAGATCTATCTTGTCCTAAATCACAGCAAGGCTATAGACTAGACAACTAGGAAACATCCCATGGCCCAATCTAAAAATCATTTATCTACTTTCTAGCTTGATCACCAACCCCATCCTGCTTTGCCATCCCTTCTAGTGAAAATCCAAATAAAGTTTGTAGGTCATGATCTTCCTCTACCCTCTACTTCCTGATTGACTGACACTAATTTTCTGATGTGGCAGAAATGCCTCCCATTTCTAGGGAGGTCTAACCAGAATTATCCTTCACGACAATCAGTCATGGGTCTGTATATGCTAGCATATCTAATTTAAAGAAGTCCTGGGTACATTTTAACAAACGTGCACACAGTCCTTGGTGACTTAGGAGCTATTATCACTCTGATTCTGTTTTTTTTTTTGTTTTTGTTGCTTTGTTTTGAGACAGGATCTCCCAATGTAACCCAGGCTGACCATGAACACACAGTCATCCTGTCAGCCTCCCAAATGCTGGCTTACAGATATGGGCCATCATGACTATCTCAGTGTATGCTAAGTGGAGCAGGTGACATACTATAAATCAAGCCCATTTACTGTTATCCTTAGGCTCACTGCTAAAATATACTTCTCAGTCCTAAAAACTCAGGTTTAGTCAAATGCCTAGTGTTTATGTTCAAAGAAAGTGTGTGAGCAACTCATTATCACTTCTCCCCTTCCTCTATCATTGCCCTTTGGCTAGCTGGATTAAGGGAAATCTTAAAGCTACCTATTCACCTTAGCAGTCACCTGGGTCTCTGAATTCCTGTGGCAGACCGCATCTGCTGATGTATTTGCTGTGACTGAAACAACCAGAAATCCCAGGATGAGCCAACAAGGAGTTTCATGTGAAATTTCAGAGACAGGGGTCCTCTCATAATCTGAAGGCTGTCATGCCCCCACCTGACCAGTGGAAGGCTGCCTACTTGGGCAGCTGCTATGTGAGAGGTCTCTCTTCATCCTGTGTAGCTATTCTCTATGCTCTAATAGGTAAACCCATTTTGGTTGACAAAATCAATGCCCTGTCTGCTGATGGAAAAACAGATAGGACTTAGGTGTTGTGAAGAATGAAACCTCTCCATCTTGTCTTGAACTGTGAATGAAGTTGCTCCCAAACTAAGAAAAACGCTGATTGAAGAGCTGAAAACCAAGAACACAAACACAATCATAGTGCTCTCACTGCTGTGACAGGTGTCTACATAGAACACATTTTTCTTGAACTTCATCTGTAGAAGTCAACATTGTTCAGAGATATACTACTTTTACACAGATATAGGATGTTGAGATCATCCCCTTTCAGAAGGTGTTTCCTCCTTAAGTGAGTCACTGACTCTGAAACACTCAGGGCTTTACAACTACCTTGAGCAGAAGGAAAAGAGCTCAAGAGCTCTTCATTACTAGGCAGGCATTAGCAAGAGTATACAACCAAAGAATGCTAGGGACACCCACATGGGACAGAGCTGAAGCCTTACCCAGCAAGACCAGGAATGCACAGTTCTCCAGCATCACATTTGGGCCAGGTCAACGGCTACATTTCTCCCAGGGGAAAGTCATGGTCATGTCCTTGGAAGGCACCAATACCTGGAATGTCTGAGACAGCAAGTTGACTTTGGGCTGTAGGAAGACCTTAGAACCTATTTTTGGGTTACAGGTACATAAAGGACTAGACCTAGTTCACCGAGGCTTCTTAAAATGGCAGAACTCTCTGTCTGCTTCAAGTCAGAGGCAGGAGCAGCCTCTGGACCCAATGTAATTGAAACTGACAGCAAAGCCTCCATGTGGGAAGCCATTTCTGAGTTATTTCTACTACCAAGCTCCAGCTGATTACCTCCTGACATACATCCTTCCTGAGCTCAAAATCATCCCCCGTGAGTCTCAGGGTGAACATGGCTGCCTGTTCTCATCATCAACAGTTATCATTAACCCTGAAAACAATAAAAATATTTTCTCTGAATCAGTCTGTGTCTGCATTGTCAAATCAGTCTACATAGACTGTGTGCATGCAGGCATGTTGTGGAAATGAATGAAGATCAAATAAATAAGAAGCAAAGCTATGTATTGTGGGCTTGCTGTAGCAAGGGAGTCAGCCACCGTCACCTGTACTTTGCAGACTCCAACAAGCAGGGGAGTAGGAGATGCTCAGGCATGCTCAGATGGGAGGCTGCTGGCCTGGGGAAGCCACAGGCAGGGTGTCCCATGTGATTGGCTATGAAGCCTATCTGGCTTTCTCTGGTTGGCCCTAAGTTGAAAGCAGAGGTAAATTTTATAGCAGCTGGCAGTTACTGACCACATCCTGCTTGT